CACAAGTGTGTTGAGTGCGATTTCCTTCTGTTTCCCGAGTAGCGGGTGGGATAGCAACAGAGGCCTGGGGGGGGGGGGTGTGCATGATGAATTCATCCGGCCGGTGAATACTTAGCAGTGCAGGCATGTGATTACTTAGCCGTCAAGTATGCTCAGGCTAGAAAAGACTGAATGCTGAAATCTGAAATCAGAAGTTCAGAATCTAAAGAGAGCTGAATGCCGAAAACTGAAATCAGAAGTTCTGAATCTGAGGGATTTGTCAAAAACCGTTTTTTGGCCCGGCGGCCGGTATGGCAGTTGATTCAATGAGGGGGTCGGTGCCTTCCTGTGAAGTTCCAGTGATCGGTGGAGCGTTGGGGTGGTTGCTTTCCCATGCAAAAACAGCGCCCCTGTGAAGGGGATCACACTCAGCACCCGAGTGGGACGGCTGAGCAGGACACACTTCGAACTTGGATTTTCAGTTAATGCAAGTATCACGTTGGGAAGGAAGGCGAGGGAAACGTAAGGTGAAAGGTCAGCGCAACTGAAATGTTTAACAATCTGTTCACTCATCTGCAGAAGCGCGGCTGAACGTCGGCGGCTGAAGGCAGCGGTGGGAAAACCTGTTTGGGGGTGGTAGCATGAAGGACCATAAAAACAAAAAAGGAAGATTGGACAGCGTGAGCAACAGTTTCTGGCAGGTACACGGTCAGACGTCTCTGACCGCATCCCATGACATCACTAGCTTCGTTGGCCAGCGTCGTGATGTCATGCGCTGGCCCCCTGCTTGATGAAAAAGGTGGAAGGAGCCCTTTTTTTCCAGGGGTGGACACACACACACACACACGCACACCAGTAAATCATGACTGAGGAAAGAAAGGAGCTTTGTGAACTACATGAAAGCCGCTTGGCGCACGGGGCGCAATGCATGGAGTGTCTACACCTGCCAGAAATAAACCAGAAATAGATGCGCATTAGTAGTGAGCTAAAGAAGTCTTATGAACAGGACTGTTTAGTCTTTTTACCTTCTGGACGGACAGAGGCAGTGATTTCTGGCTGGCATGAAGCCTCAAGCGGCACCAGTCCAGGTCAATGGATGGGAAACATGTAGAATCAGGTCGAAAGGTTCAGGTGCAGAGGTGAACCTATGACCTATGCAAAACGGTGCTTCCTTGTATACACCCCTTTTCCATCCTTTCATTTCTATCAATCGGGTCCGTTCTTTGTTCTTGTTTTTGGCCATTTGGTGCCAGTTAAGGTCAGCTTTTGGGCCTTTGGCATTGCCACGCTGCTCTTTACAGCCTTTGGCCTCGCCGGTTTTGCACGCTTCGGTGATGAAGTGCCCTCGGCGGAAGGAACACCGTTTCCGGACCTCATACCGCGTCGTGCCATGTTGTGCCGCGTCGTGCCAATTTATCTTTTTCATATATATAATATATATTAACTTATAACTATTTTTAATGCAGACGTGCGGGAATTCAGGTGCTTGGCAACGTGCTGAAGAGCAGCTTGGTGGAGAGTACACATGAGCTTGTCACACCAAATGACGGGGCCTTTGCTCAGACTTACTATTGACAGCGATTTAGATCGATTTATAATCTATATAGTATTTCTTCAAGGCTACTTCTGAGAAGTCTGTGAGATGACTCAGAACTGTTGGGGATAGCCATAACCACTGTCAGTTGCTAGTCTATTGCGTGGGCTGGAGTCGAGGTTACAGCCCTGATGATCCCATGATTCAGCTCTCCTGGTTTTGTATGATGGTTGCTTGGGCATCGGTTTTTGAAGCTCCAACATTTGAGTCGGAGGAATTTTCCAGGAAGGCCAGAAGGCCTTTCTTGCCCAGGTGTCAACGGTTTTCAACTTTCCTCACGCCTTTCAGCTTGGATCTCAATCTATTCAGCTTGAACCCTGTTTGATGCTCCACACTTGAGTTTGAACACTTTTTCGGGCTGAACGTGCCCACCAGCAGCGGTTGTTGAGGCGAATGCGTTCATCCTTCAATGCCTTGCTCAACAAGGGCCCCGAAGAGAACTTCATGATGACAACAATCCTTCTGCTCTCCATCTCGGTGTACATGGGAGTCGCGTTTAAAGATATCGCGGTGATCAAGATGATCAAAGGCGCGCTTTTGGCCGTGTGGGTGCCACCATTTGGTGCGCTGTAGATTTAGATGAAAGATGAAGGGCCACGCCTGCGAAGGTGCCACGCTTGGTGTCTCTATCATGCCTCTTGGCTCAAGCAGCTCCCCAAATGCCAGCAGGTAACAGTATGCAAGTACTATCGGATATACAAGTTCAGGTTCATCTTCCCCGCGCTGTTCTTCATCCAGCTCAACGAGCCAATCCGCTTGAAGAGAAAATGCACCTCGGTTGCTGTCTCCAGGGGGACCTGGGGACCTCAGATGCAGAACCCGGTCGCACACTTTGTCATCAGTTGAGCCAGTTGAGCGACCCGTTGAACGACCCTTCGTGGCCTTCTCAGGCAGTGGTGACATCAATGACCCTATGAGTCAAGTTCGCAGAAGGCCGGCGGCCCCTCCGAAACACCTCCAAAAGCACCGGTCGAAACGACAACGACGCCGAAGCGCTGTCCGCCACTGAGGCGACGAGGCAATTGGCTCTCTGTGCTTTGTGCTCCTTGGACCCCCCTTAGTGCAAGATAGTACAAGCGAATTATGGATTCCTGGATTCTGATGGATTTTGAAGGACTCATTGACTCATTGGACTCATTGAGCAACAGAGTGAGGTGATCATGATGATCACTGGTTTCGTCCAGGGTGCTCTCGCCTTGATGGTGCACTACAACATCATCTAATCTGAGTTCGTGATGATTTGACATTTTCTAGTCCCATCCTCTGATTTTGTGCTTCTAAGCCCCTAGCCAAGCAGTCTCCACATGCAATCAAACCATTTCAACATGTTCTTGCATATTCGTGCTGTTCCCTTCAAGAATTTTCTCAAGCTGGATCGCGTCCATGTTGAGCAGCTGGCCCGGTGACAATTCACGAGGATTGCCATGCTGTGAAACAGGTTAATCTCAGAAGACCCCAGCGACCGACTGACATGAATATAGTTAATATACCTCACATTTCGTTTCAGACAGGACACCCTGACTTGAGGGAAGATCTGTAGTTGCTGGAGTCTGTGTTTCTTGGACTCTTGGTGTCTCCACCATTTTGAGCTGCTGGATGTCTCCAAGATGGGTTTGGCCTTGCTGCATGTTGGCAACAATCCGAAAAAACACTCGCCGTGGCCAAACGGCTGCTATGGCAATGGTGGGCAAGCTTGTTTCAGACCCACCGCATGTCAACATGCAGCTGAATGCCAACCACCAAAGAAAAGGGATGTCGCTCCAACATAATAGCGAACTGATATTCCCAACTTCGTTTGTCCTGCATTTTAAAGGCTCCCCAGCTACGTAAGTTTTGACAGGTGTTCTTTGGCATGGAGCAGCAGCCCTTTTCATGGGTGGAATGGATTGAAAAGTGGGAAGTGGTCCCGCCAGCAAGCATCAGAAAAGTTGCGCAAGCCAAACCGCTTGGTATTTTCAAAAGGCTTTCAGAATGCAGAGAGCGGACTAGGAAGCGTTACTGGTAGGACGCTCAGATCCGACGGTGCGTTGCTCTGAGGCTTGCCCGATGGATGAAATCAGTACAAGGGAAGGAGGCCAGGCCAGGCTACAGTAGATTTAGCATATGTTACTAGTAAGGATGCTCCTAGTAGTACGGCCGGGGCTCCTAGTAGCGTCCTTGCTCCTAGTAGCGATGCCCTTTGTTACTAGTAGCGTCCTTGTTATTGACAGATCAAAAGTGCTCAGATGTTGAGGTCCGAAATCTTCAGAGTTGCTTTTCCACGCTTTCCCATCGCCTGCTTTTGCAGCTGCAGTGATCTTAATTCTCACGTAAGCAGAGTAGGCCATGATGATATGATTGAATTGATCCCCCGTTTAGTTTTGCTCTTCAGCCATGCCTCTTGGAAGTTTATGGAAAGATAATAACCTTTTTGGCTCCTCACTTGCACTTTGTAGTGCCAGTCTCCCACTTGACTGCTCCTGCGTTCTTCTACCAGTGCAGCCTTGGCGTCTTCGTGCTTGTATTTCGTCTGGCTCCGCCAGATACAGTCCAGTGCATGCAACGCAATTCTGCTTGTTCTTCTTTGTTTTGGAGTCTTACCTGCCCCATTGCCTTCTTGCATTTGTCGTTGATGCAGGCACCAGGTGTTCTGACCAATATTATGAACGGCCTTTCTTCTTGATTCTACAGGACTTGGACCTCAACAAGTTCCACAGCTTCGCCAAGGGCCACTTCGGCGACGTGGCTCAATCGTGTGCACACCAAAGCCGTGGAACCCACCGGATTCAGGAAAGCTGAGCGCTCGGCGAAAGTCCAACATCACACCAAGGAGAAGCTGGGATTTGGGTGGCTTGGTGGAATCTCTTTGGTTAATATTTGCGGTCCGATGCCTCTGGTTGATCTGCCTTCCAATCTCTGATGTCATGAGGTTTCCAATGGTTTCGAAGTGAATTTGTGGTGACAAAAGGGTCACTCTACACTGCAACGCCCTACTGTCTGCGCCAGGAGGGCAGACCGACATGTGCGTGAGAATGCGGCCCTCGTGCTGGAAGCCCAAAAAGTTCAAGGTTTATGCCACGCTCCTCCGAGGGGCTCAGAGGAATCAGTCGAATCAGATGCTACTAGTAGCTAGAAGCTACTAGGTGGAGGCCATCGCAAGTAGGTTGAAGGCCATCGCTGCTACTAACAATTGACCCTTCTGCACCGGTGAATTTTCAGGCTAAAGACCAGGCTGCGAGACCTTTTCCTCCGACGCTTGTCCAGTGGTGCCCTGACTGCAAGAAGGAGTGGCTGAGTTGCTGGACGCACCGCTGGTGAAGTTTGGAGGCTTTGGCATGATGCGCAGATTTGCATTCCAAGAGGCCTGAGGAAAGTCATTTTGTCAAGTACTTCGCAAATCCCAGTAGATTGGAGGCCATCGCTAGTAGGTTGGAGAGACGTGTTCCTGTGAGCTTTATTCACCGCTTGAACCAGGCTCAGAGCGATGCCGGAGCAACATCACCCGGTGAGCAGCGGATCCCAGTCGCCCTAACCGAACCTTTTCTTTGTTGAGAGGAAGAGAACCAATTGATTCCATGGAACAAGTTCTGCTAGAAATCTTTGGTCACATGCATTGGTTTAGCAGTCCCGCAAAAGATTCCGGACGAACAAATTCTACCATCACGCACTTTGCATTGGGTGACAGCGTCGTCACGGAGGGGTGGGACCAAGAAGAGGGTCTCATGCAGCCGCCCCGCAGTTCTGCATTTTGGCTGCATCAGAAGGTTTTCCTAGAAACTCTACACTAACATGTCGGCCATTGCGGAGGTTGGGGAATGAACATCGAGCTGCTGTCTTCTAGCTGATTCTAGTTGCCTTTCAATTCACCGCCGGCTTTTAAGCCAGTATTGCGACAAGCTTCTCACACGTGGCCAGACACCTGAAAATCATCGCGCACCTGTGCCGAATGATGAGAGTGTCCTTGCTGCAAGGGTGACGTTCCAAACGGTGCCCTGTGTTCTCTGTGGTTCTCATTTCAACCCAAACGGTGCCCCCCGTCCGAGCGGTTTTCAGGTGGCATGGCTCTGACCAAGTCTTTGGAGAATTTGTCGCTTGGCGGAGTGGCGGCCGTGTACCCTCAGGTGCAACGACCAAAGCACTTACGACCAGAGCAACGACCCGGCGTGATGCACGTCGCGATGGCAGGCAAAGATGCCCAAGAAGTATCGTATTCCACAGAAAGGCGAAGTGAGCACCTACCAAGGACACTTCAAGTTTGTTGAGCCTCAAGTAGGTAGCATCAAGTAGCTGGAGCACACTGGGTAGAAGATTGGAGAAGATGGTAGAAGATTAGGAGTCGGAGTGTTTGGAATTCGTCAGGAGCAGGAGTCATCCCAGTAACAAGGCTGCCGGATGGTCTGGAGCTCAAGGGGAACTTCGGCAGTCACCCACGATCAATATGTTTGGTCACTGTTAGAGGCAAGGCTCGGGTGCTTCTTTGGCAGCCGCAGAAGGGCAAGAAGCAGGGCGTGCGCTGGTATGACTTCGGGGGCAGCAAGAAGCCGACCGAGGCAGCTGTCGGAGGGCCTCTCACTTTTGATACCCCAACCCCCAGCCCCAAAGAATCCCAAAGCGACAATGCTACACTGCTACAAAGTCATTTCTCCCCAAATGTTCCAACTGCTTCCAAAGCACAGAAGAATCTGCGAGGACCTGGATGTTTATATATATATATATCTAAATACTCTTAGTCTGTGAGACCCGAAGTCCGCGAATTGGTAGATGTTGGGAGACTTGCAAACGGCTCCAGGAGTTTGCGAGCAGCTGTGCCTGCCGGAAGTTTGCCAAGGAGACATATGGCCTCTTCGGTTGTGCCACTTGGTGAAACGGACTGTCACACAATAAGGGCACCTAAAGGAACAGAAATCATAGAACCGGATCAATCAACCCTGTAGTGCTCTAACACCAGACTAACCGAGCAAAAGTTCCATGGAAAGAATCACTTGAATCACTTGGGGTTTTGGGGTGTCATTTGGTGGCTTGGAGCTGATTGGGAGCAAAAGCTGTTGTGATCGCCTCACATCGAACCGCGCGAATCGCCTTCCAGTGGTTCCAATCTGAGGCTTTGGACTTGAAAGGTGACCAGATGGCAATGCAACTCAGGGAGCTCTACCAGGTGCGATGTTTCTGCGAACATGAATTTCGATATGTTTCGAAGCCGAAACGGGTCGAAATGATAGCAGGATAGCAGCTGCTTTCCGAACTTACTAACATGGAAGCGGAACATCCACTTGATGCCACTTGCTGACTTACTTCCATGGCATGTTCACCTGTTCGTCGGAGTGAGAAGTGCTCCCCCTGGCACCTGCTTCCGCACCCAGCGCACGGCTTGAGGGCCTCGCCAACTTGCCCCTCATGCTCAAGGCAAGTGAGGACTTCACGCCAGTTTCACCCGCTCTGGGAGCTTTGCAAGTCCATTTCAAACTCTGGTGGAACTAGATTGGACCAATGGGTTGGACGAGTGGCTTGGTGCTTTGTCAAAAGTCTAAAGACTCTTTATGCTTTTATTCTATTGTAAGATATTGTAAGATGATTTTGACTCGTGACTGCTTGTTGGAGGAGTGGGCACATTTGCAACTTCTGGATGATGGCCCTCGGATTTTCTTCAATGACACCCACGAGTACTTCTTGTACATGTTGTGCGTGCCATACGTGCCAGAGGACACCAGCTGACTGACATCGATTCGTTTTGTTTGGCAATGATAGCACCATGCTTATGGTAGCGCTTATGGTTCGTATTGTCAAATCCAAGCTGCTGCATCTATGACCATCTTTGCACGGGATCGCACGCTGCCCCCGCTTGCAAAGGAAGTTCTGAACGAGGCCTCGACCATTGTTGATGGCCGCAAGCGTGTTTTCAGGCTGGGAACGTCCCTCTCGTGCCTGTCGAGCCTTGCCTCGCCCCAGAGTTGCTCCGTTTCTTCCGTTTTCCCAGGTGGATGACAGTGGAAGAGTTGGCTGAGGAGGTCATGGCACCGAGGCTCCACATGGCAAGCTTCGCGCTGCAGCTGGAGAACCTTCAGGAGGATCCTTTTGTTTCTTGGCAGGTGTGGGAGACGAGATAGGCTTCGATCAGGTGACTTGTTTTGTGGGTGAGATGGTTTGAGAACTTGGTAGGCGGATAGGCAAGGACTGAAAAAGGGCCACACCACTTAAGTCCAGTGTTATTTCATGTTTCAATGTGCCATGCTGTGCCATACCTTTTGCATCCTTTGGGCTGATGATGATGATGTTGCCTCCCTCTGAGGTGCTCATGGGCAGAACATATGGCAATGTAGCGAGTAATATTCCAACAGGAACTTTTTCTGCCGCTGCATTGTGAGCCTGAAAATCAGCATACCTCACAAGTTTATGCGGCAACGTTCAGACATCCTCCGCTGCTAAAAGCAGCTGTAAAGTAAACATCATGCCACTTTGGTGAAGGCTGTAGAGCGTGGATGTTTGGACATTTTGAATGGCGACTGTTGTGGCTGATGTGTTTTGTATTGCCCAGTTGGCCAGTTGAAGATCAGGTACAACATCACACTACTTGGGGACCTTGTTTTGCACCTTTCGACGCTTGTTCCACATCTACATATTTTCAAAAAAAGACTATTGTTATATTATATACTAACTATTTTGTAATATTCAAAACCATTCGATCTTCTTCTGCGACTTAGTGGGCGAGTCTTACATCTGGCAGCAGAAGCTTTTTCCCCGCCATCCTTCATAGAAGGGTGGTGTTCCGACCTGCGAAGCAGGGACCACAAGAGTGCCGGAACCCTCATGAGCCACGGGATCCAAGCGAATGCATTGGAAATAGCAGTGCGGTTGGAACATGGAACAACAGTCAGAGGTCAAAGCATGGACGATGGATTATGATGGAAGGTGTAAAAGTCTAAAGGTTCCATGATGTTCAATTCTGTTGGTTTCTTTGTGTTTTTGGTGGGAATCTTGAGGTAGCAAGGGCAGCTCTTTCTTGTACGCAGACGCTGCCCCCCATGGTACTCCCATGGTAGAATGTTTCTTTTTGAGGCCGAGCATCTTCAAAGAGCTACTGAAATCTCAGTGCCAGTGTGCCGTGACAGCCTCAGCATGTGCTGAGAAAAGCAACTGACATTTGAATGACCATGTAGTATATAATGAGAACGCTTGGCAGCTTGAGTTCAGGAAAGCGGTATGTCTTCAAAGACTTTGAATGATGAAACAAAGACCCTGACCTCACATGTTCGGCTTTGCATGGCTTTGCATGGCTTGGAGACTCACTCAAATCGGACTTTGTTTCATGGTTGTGCCCTCGCAGCTCTTTGGGGTTCACAGGGTTGCACTGCTGGGGTGACACGCAGTGCCTGGCAGTTCTCCATGGACTAGCCGCGATGGCCGAGATACAAGAAATTCAGAGCGAAGGCTTTGACCTGCCGGCGCGGGAGGCGACGCCCGGCTGCCGGGTGATACTGATATGGCAGCTGAACCTGTCAAGTACAACATGGATTGTCGAAGGATATTTGCATTGGGATCGGCATGAGGGTGAGAAGCCGCTTGGTTTCCGTTGACTTGGATCTTCTCATTCTTCTTGCTTTTTTCTTCTTTTTTCTGTCAGGGATCCCACCATGTGAGGCTGGCTCACAAGGTTTTGATAGAAATCACTCAGACTAAGGACCAGCCGAGCCCCACGATGGCGGTACACGCGCGAAGAAAAAGGGAGGAAAGAAGAGAGCCGTTGCTGGAGCTCTTTTACGGGCCGTGACTCTGTGAGCAGCCAGGGCGGCCTATCCAAAGAAGAGTTAGACGCACTCACATCGATGAAGGAGGAGATGAGGAAAAAGCTGTCGGAGCGCAAAAAGGCACTTGATAGTGCCGGAAACTTGATCGATCAAGATGCAGAAGAACGATGGCAGCTCCTGAGGGTTCTAGGCAAGAAATGCCGAAACAGCCACTGAGTCAGCAAGTTGAACTCATGAAAGTCCTTCCTAGTTGGGCATGCTTGGCAATTTTTTGGTTTAAAGTCTTGGTAGCATGACTATTAAGTGGTTCTAAATCTGTTGGTTGAATCCTTCGGTTGCTTCCCAAGGTAAGGAGCTCTTTGCCCTCCGGGAGCAAATCGAACAGGATCGCCGCGCCGCAGGGCCGGAGGCTGCGCCAGAGTGGCGCCCGCCACGGATCTCCGGCGCCGTCGGGGGACCCCCGCGGGGCGCGAAGAAGCGGGGCTGCGACGCCATCGAGTGGTTTCTCATTCATCGCACGCGGGAATCGCCAAGACAGAGTCAGAAAGGCACAAAGAGACGGAGGACAGACACAGGGGCAGAAGTGGACTCTTCGTCGGAAGAGGAAGTGATAGAGAAAGGTCCAAGAAGGCCTCCAATTTCTGCCTTTAAGGGAGGAGATGCTGCGAGAAATGAGCTCGAGCCCGAGGAAGCGAGGCAACTTTGGAAACGCTTGGAGAACGACGAGGTCTTCACATCCGAAGACGATTTACTCCGCCTTTGGCGCCTTGCTTTGGCCAAGACGGCCGTGGAGGAAGATGGGCAACTCCCATTTACCGTCATGGATTTGGCAAAGCATCCAGGAGTTGCTTGAGCATTCTTTGTCTTTTCCATGCTAATTTAGCGGTGTGCCGTTAAAAAATGTTAAAGTAATTTCTTCGCAGCTCCAAGTGAGAATCTTGATGCCTGATGCAAAATTGAAGGCAGCAGGTGGAACACAGAGCCCACCTGGCTTTCACGGGCCTAGCGGCAGTGGTCGAGATGGCTTCGGACGCCCTTTCGAAGAAGGACTTGGTCACAACGTTCTTGAAAGTTGTGCTTCGGGAGCTGTTGAACCGCGTGTTCAACGATGACCACCAGGCCCAACTCTTCCCAAGCACAGGTGTTTGTTTGATGGTGGTAAGTTAGTTGTTGTTGTAACGTGTTGTCACGGTAGATTTGGCAAATGGTTGGCTCCATGCCATGCAGATCTGTTAGGCTCCGTTAGGCTCCCTGTTTGTGATGTTCGAGCCACTCGAACCGGTGCAGGGCCACTTCCTGCCGCTGAGCCGCTTCAAAGGCCATGCCAAAGGAGTTCGTGGCTGTGCAAGGCAGGCACTTCGAGGCAAGGTTGCTGGGTGGATGGCTCGCACAAAAGAGTGTTCTCTGGAGTGTGCCATCAGTATGCCAATTGCAGAAAGGGGTTGGGTGTCGGGGCCAAGCAAAGCCACTGTACTACTGTATCGTCCTTTTCTGTATTCTTTTTGCATTCTTGTAAGTAGTGATTCTGTGTGAGCTTTTGTGGAGTCTAGCGGCCTGGTTTCCTGCGGTTAGCTCATTATGAATTCAAGTCTCGGCCACTACTGACTAGTGCTTCGCCACCATTTTGGCCCAAGACTTGCATCCTCTCTGCCAAACCCTGTCGGTTGCATGATCGCCAGCCGACCTTTGTTGATCCTTTGTGCGTCCGCGAGGACGGCGACGCCACACTTGAGGCCTATGGGTACTGCTATGAGTGCCTTGAGCCATGTGGCCCTGGCAGATGTCGCCATCCAATTTGCTTGTTTCAGTGTCGCAGCTGCACTGCAAACTGAGAAGTTCTATGACATCTCAGCGAGTTTGACCTACATCTTGTGTGTCCTGATTTCCCGGCGGCAGGGCGTCCGAAACACAAGGAGTGCTGTGAACTCAGGCCTGGTGACACTATGGGCGTTGAGGCTTGGGAGCTTTTTACTATGGCGTGTGTTGCAGGATGGAGGTGATTCTCGTTTTGCCAAGGCCAAGACACGTCCCATGGTCTTCTTAGTCTTTTGGGCCATTCAGGCCCTCTGGATTTTCATCACAGCTTTGCCGGTGTACCTCTCGAACACCAAGAGGACAGTGTCGTCCACCGAGGAGCGTTTGGAAGAGGGCACTGCGAGCGAGGCAAGCGAGGGTTCCAAAATGGCGAAATGGCTTGCCTCCATAGCTGACCATGCTGACACTGTAAAGATGGAACATGAAACATGCTCACGTTTCACGGCCTGTTGTTAAGGAACTAGGCCAGATGCCGGTTTTCCATCCCTCGGTTTCAAGATTTGAGTTCACTAACATGTCGCATAGGCATCCATAGGCTGTGTTCAACTGTAGGGTTTGCACTTCTGACAGGTTCGGAACACTCCCATTGGCTGGCGTGACATGGTTGGCTGGTCGCTTTGGTCTTTGGGCTTTGTGGTGCAGGCCACTGCAGACCTTCAAAAGCGACTCTTCCAAGCAGATCCCCGGAACCAGGGCCATTGGATCAATGTCGGCTTGTGGCGCCTGGCACAGCATCCCAACTACTTTGGGGAGATTTGTGACCTTGCCTATCATTTATTCTGTTTATCCTTCGTGACAGTTTGTATAGCCGCTAGCCATCGAAACTGTAAACAAACAGCTTGTCTTCTCTGGGTTCTGTTAACTGTGAACAGTGTATTTTTGTGTTGCTCAGGCATGTGGTGGGGTATTTTCTTGAGTTGCTCAGCCTCTCTCCGCGGCTGGGAGCTTCTTTGCGTGTTCTCGCCCTGCTTTGTGACCTTTCTGTTGCTTCGTGTGAGTGGTGTTCCAATCCTCCGGAAGACTGGTTTGAAACGCTGGGGGGCACTTGCGCGAGTACCAGGAATACATCAAGAAGACACCCCTGCTGGTGCCGTTGCCTCGCCCGGAGGGCCATTTTCTGGGAAGGACCTAGTTAGCTTCTTTGCTCCTAGTAGCGTCCTTGGTCCTAGTAGCGATGCCAGGAGCTCCTAGTAGCGTCCTTGTATATAGTCATAAAATCGTGCCGACAAAGCAAGGCACTTGACAGAATGCGCAGATCCAATCGTTCCCGTGCACTGCACCAGAAGGACAAAAAGAGGCATCAGTTGTTTTCAGGCTCAGTAAACTCTGAATACGCTGGCTTCGAGGTCTGATGATAGGAAAACAATGGAAGCTTTTGACTCACGAGCAGGAGAGCAAACCTGCTTGACTTGGGATACCGTCAAGATTGATTTGTATTGTATATCTATAGGGAGATTCCGTGTTCTGGAATCTGGAAGAGTGTTTTTTTCCCGTGGTCCCCATATGGCCACGTCTTGAAATCGGCAAGGCCCCTAGATGTGCCGGTCCCTTCTGCAGGCTCCACATCCACGGAAGTGGCTGCGGGCTTTGGCGTGCTCGTGTGCAGTCATGGGATGTCGCAGATCGTCCCGGAGATCTTCCAGGCCACCGAGCCCAATCGCCATGGGCTGGCGGCACTCGCCTTTGGCGCCCTCCTCGTGGCGGAGCCGACAGCCAAGACAAAGGCGAGATGAACTTTATTCCGGTAGCCACTGAGTGTCTCTAAAAGACATGTGGATGCTTCAGAAGAAAGTTGCTTTTTGATACGGGGATCTCATATTACAATTCTGAGAAAAATTAGGAAGTGACAGCACAAGGCAGCTCGTGAACCGTATGCTTGCTTCTCTTGATGAGTTTGGGGGCGTCCGGCAACCTTTGGCTGTTCACTATGTGACTTGTTGAGGTCTTGCAGCTGCTGCTGGAGATGCTCAGTGCTGACTGTTTCGACCTGCTCACACGTTTCGACCTTTGGGCGCTGCTGAAGTCGCTACAAGATGAAGAAGTGGACATGGCATTGACCAAGATCCAGGCTAGGTTGGAACATGTTGGAACATTCCTTGCATGACTGAGAGTCTGAAAGTGAAAGAGTGTGCCATAGAAAGGTTGGACAGAGCAACATGCTGCGCGTGTGTTGGAATCATCCGTGGGTCGCATAATAAGGGGTACACACTTTGTGTTATATTGTTTCCTCAGCTTCTCGGCCACAGCGACCACTCACAAGGTGCCTCGTTTGCCAAGTGCCACAGACGATCTTCGGGCCTTGCCGGGCCTGCCGCAGCTGCTTCTGGCTTGGCAGCCGATCCCTGGAACTGGGCAGCTTGGCAAATGCTGCGACGCTTCGAACGTCTATCTTTTGGGGGTGGGCGTTTGAGTGCAACCGTTTGGATCGGGTGATTCTCTAGCTGAGGCCCATCATAGCAGCTGACCAGCTGCTGAAGGACTTGCGCGAGAAATCACAGGACCCAAGGGTGAGCCAGGGTCAAGCAGCTTATTGGCCGACTGG